ACTTTCTTCCATAAAACACAAAAGACGTTTAGTAGAATGTTCATGCTGCTCTTTACAATTGAACACAAATATACATATAAAACGAGCTAAGGCTGTCAAGTTCCAAAAAGGATAAAAAACAGATAAATAAAATGATAAAAAAGGCCTTGTCTACTAAATATTATTCTACGTATACTCTCTGAATTCGTTTAGAATAATATTCACACTATAGAACATTCACACTGCATACAAGGACAGTTTATACTGATTATGGCCTTCAAGTTAAAATACTTAATACATATTGACATATAATCAAATTCGCAATATGGCTTATTGCGATTATCAAAACGCAAAGACTGTGATTTAATTAAACGTATGCACGGCATGTTAAACTAAACGTTTAAAAAATATATTAACAATTAAAATTAACATTAAACGTTTGAAAATGAAGTGAGCAAGTAAATATTGTTTTAATTTTAAAGTTGTACTATAAAATTATTATTATTATTTTTTAATTCTCAAGTAGTAGTATTATAACAGTAGCCTAATATGTATTTTATATCATTTAATATTATTATGTAACATTGTTTTTTTTAAATAATAATCACAATACAATTCACAATCATATTTATTTTATTGCCATATTGAATAAGTCATAAACAGTGGGAATCTGGCCTATGATAAGTGGAAAATGATTTTATTAAAGGTAACAGAAAGGTATTTTATTTTATTTTTTATTTTTTTTTATTTTATGATGATTAGAGTGCCTCCAACAAAGTAATATTTTAATCTATATAATACAATAATACAAGATATGGATGAGTACATTTTCAATTTTGTGTAAGCTATTCCTTTAAAAATCTGTAACAACTTATTAATAAGTTTTCTTATTGCCAGACACACAGTGGAAATAACACCCTCCACATTTCACTGAAACCCAGCCAGTTCTGCTCTCCCGATGCTGTTAGCATGATGTGCTCTCCAAAATATCTTTGTCTTTGGTACATTTCCACAGTAGCTCAGTCCCTTGGTATGCGAGTGACCGGATCGAGTTTGACATCTGCAGCAGTAACGGCTGACAGGAATGAAAATAGAGGGAGATCATTGGAGATCCAGCTCTTTCAGAAAGCTTCCGGCCCGGAGAGCCGACTCAATCCCACAGAGAGCCGAACGCCATCCCATCCACACTCCTGTACTTCACTCACACCTCCACAGTTTGTTATGTCCACTGCTGTTTATTGGTATGAGACATGCAAATGAACTCATACAACTCATTCTCAGTTCAGCCGTGTGTGATATGGCTACATGGAGACATCAGATTCCTTTCCTTCCATCTCCAATGCTTTATTAATATGTTGTCTGAAATGCATTGAGGATTTTAAGAGGACATGACAACCAATGTTCCCTCTAACGCACATACAAAAATTAGTTGGGAAAGTCATTTGATTGTATTCTAGTCAAACCAAAAGAAATGCAATGCTCGGGAAAACCGCTATAGAGTTGGTGTCACTATAGAGTTAGACATAATCATAGACATAATAAATACCTAGACGCCTCATTGGCCGCTCGACCGCACGTCAACGTCGCCGCCATATTGGTGAAGGCAACTGTTGAAACTGAAAACTGAAACTGTTGTGCTGCTTAATATTATTTTTTTGGGGACCTTTTTTCTTTGATTCTTTGATTAGGCTAATAAAAAGAAAAAAGAACAGCATTTATTCAAAATATGAATATTTTCTAACAATATAAGTCTTTACTATCACTTTGTATCCATTTAACACATCCTTGCTGAATAAAAGTATTATTAAAACAAAATTAAAAAAATAGAGGGAACATTGAAGGCAACATTACATTACATCAAGACTCTGGATTTAATCTAAACATTTTAGGTCTTTACATATGTATCAGAATCTATTGGAATTGAATTAATATGATTTAAGTTAAAACATAGTGTTTCATTATTCTAGATGAGTCACATTTTTACATTAATCAGAAAAAGGTGGTATAGACACTGCAGTCAGATGAAATGAACTGCTCATAGTCTATGAGAGCAAAAATACAAAGACTATAGTATGATGCATTGTTGAAGAAACAATTAACAGCTATCCTGTTTCCTGAAAATGCAGAAACGTTGCCGCACATCTGTCGTTCAAATCTGTCGTTAATGATGTCAAGCAGGTGGTGGAGTGATAGCTTCTGCTAATGAATCAGCTCAAGATCAAATTTAGGTCAGATTATTGCTGTAAATATCAGCGTTGCTATTTTTGTTCTGATATTAAGCTTTATTAGCACAGGTTTCCTTACATGGCTCCGTGGTTCCCTGTGGTATATTGCTATTAAAGTCCACATGCCACATTACACAAGAAACTGCTTCTAACCGCTTTAGAGCTGTAGTTACAAGTATTAATTGGAGCTATGGATTCGGGAAACACCAAACAGTTGAATTTACAGTATGTTGGTAATGATGTAACTTATGACCATAATTGGCGAATGGTGCTTTTGAGCTCCACTGATTGGCTCAATACATAACTTTCATAAGTATGCTTTCTGTAACTATAGATTCAAACATATTTCAAAGTTGTGAAAAATTTTTCTAAATCGAAAGGTGCAGTCACATTTAACACTGTTGGTGAATATCTCTGCAGGTTTCATTTGGAAACCACATTATCTGCACACAATTTCTCTGCACAGGTTTGGAAGTGATCGTAACACTTTTGACAACGGACAATCAATCTTTTTTTTTTGTCCTCGAAATTTCACTAATGTGACCACAACCTAAGAGAAGAGAAGACATTACAACATTAAAGCTAATGGCATAGAGGAACGATAAAACTGGAATCATTTTCAGAGCGTTTTCAGATCGTCCGTTGATGTGAAGGCTAACATAGTTATCACTACAGTTAGCGTTCTTGGTGCGAACGAGCCTTAAGGCTTTTCCTGCTGGGTAATTGCACAAGCTGTCGTAGTTGAACTCATAAGATCTATTCTATTCTAATTGCAAGAGGTACAAACTCTCATCTAAGCCATCAGCATCTGCATTATTTCTATTCTACTCTGATAAAATGTCCTATTTATTTGACAAACTGAATGTATTCAGCGTGTCTCCCTAAAGAGCACTTTCCTCTTTATCTCAGGTGACTGTCATGTTTACATTAATTTTATAATTGTCTGCATGAAACATTTGAATAGAAACAGCACTGCACACCCACACCCACAGCTCCGGTGCTCATTGTACCATTTTGCCCACTGAATTGCAGCCCGTCCTCCAGACAAAAGCCCTGAAAGCGTTTCCGACACTTTGTCGCCTGGTCTGCTTGGAAACCTGGCCAACTGCACAAACCAACTCCCTGTAAAGCTTCCATTGCAGAGGCACCGGACATTCCCTCAGGACAGCTCAATGGAAATTAATTTGCACAGAAATATCACACTGTGCTCAAAAAGAACCCTTATCGCAAAGCGCCAACTCTGGCAGCAGACAAAGGAAGCAATCTGAGGAGAGGAGGAGGAGGATGAAGGCACCGATTCATTCACAGGACACACTGCCCTCCTCCACCGCTGGAGCGTGGACCCCTCGATCACTTCCTGTCTCCTCTATCCAAACCATCATTATATCCTCTGGGCTCCAGTGGTGTGGATGGGGGTTGGGTAAAGCCATCAAAACTAACATATGAACGACAGAGAAAACAGCACCTCATTTATGACTGATAGGGTAATGATTAAACGGTAAACTAATTCAAAATTAAAATTGTGCTACTATGTAATCATGTTGTACTAAATCTTAAAAATCAAGAAGAATCTTATGTGGCTCTTTTCTATATAACAACAGTTCATAGTGCTCATGCAAGCTCCCCCAAAACAGCAACAACAAGTATTAATGTATTTTAATCAATGCAAAGTGCATTATATTACAAGTCTTGAAAAGTCATATAATAGGTCTATCAAAGGAACAGCTTGAAATATAAGTTATTTACTAATAAAGATAAATCCAAAGCTGATTAAGCCAGAACCTACACTCTAAAAAATGCTGGGTTAAATACAACCCAGTGCTGGGTAAAATAGGGACAAACCCAGCAACTGGGATGTTTTGACCCAGCTGGGTCAAAACAACCCAATTTTTTAGAGTGTAACTAAAGAATAACTGCCCTCTGAAATTTCAGTTTATGAGATGAAACAAGACACCACTAAGTAAGATGTGCTAACCATGTGTTAGCATTTCAGGAAGGATGGTGCAGAAAGCAAAAGCATAGTTCACAGGGAATGAAAATCTAGAATTTAGTACAATTGATGTTCAAAGACTGTGGTGCCTACAGAACCCAAAGTCAGATTGCAAAATAGTTTTACCATCTTTACCTGATGCTTCCGAGGAAAAACAAAAAAGAATAAAGTCTTTAGAGTAGCACTACATTTGAGGGCAACAAGAGCATCGGTTTGCACTGCATCTAAACAATGTAAGAGGACTGCTACTAAAGAGAAAAGAAATGGACAGGCTAATAGTGTCAAATCGTTAAGTCAGTTAGCCGTGTGATTGGTTTTTGAGTAGATATTGTGGATTTTTTTGTTTGTTTGCATTAATTTTATGTACATTGTACTTGTTGTTATTGATTGTTCATACTCGTACTGCCATTATACTGTATAAGTCATATAATGGATATTGTAAAGATACTGACATTAGCCATTCAAAATCCCATCGATGATATATACCAGCAGTGGCGAACTCCGGTCCTGAAGAGCCGCAGTCCTGCAGAGTACAGCTCCAACCCTAATTAAAACTCACCTGCCTGTAGCTTTCTAGTAACCCTTCAGACCTTGATTAGCTTGTCCAGGTGTGTTTGATTAGGGTTGAAGCAAAACTCTGCAGGGCTGTGGCTCTCCAGGACCGACGTTCGCCACCCCTGATATATACTACCGGCTATAAAAACCCTATAACAACTATTTATTTGAAGCCACTTGGCATCAACAAATCAAATCAAGACTAATTTCTTCCATAATCTATCTTTGAATGATTAATCAATTTTCTATTATTAGTAGACGTTGAAAGTCTCTTTGCACGTGCCCAGACCTCCGGGGAGACTGTTGCAGTCCCGTAGAGTGAACTTGAACTCCACGAACACTCTCTGGGCACCTTGGTTTAATATGAGATTCGTCTGCAACCAGTTGTTCTGGTTGTGCTCCATCACCTTACACACCTGGTACGTGTGGATGGGCGCGTAGTTCTCGTCCACCTCTCCAATTTCTTCCCACTAAAAAAACAAAGGTTACATTTTTAATTCATTTTTTTTTGCCTTTTGTTTGAGAGCACAGTTCAAGGCTGCATTCACACTGCAGTTCTTGATGCCCAATTCTGATTTGTTGATTATATACTTTTTTTTTTCTTCTGACGACCAGCTTACATATTTTTTTTAAAAGTGACCCCTATACGATATCTGCATTTGCACTATACACTTGGCGAAACAACCCAGGGTGGATGTACTGACAAGTTGCCAGGTCTGGGAAATAAAACCAGCCTAATTGCTATTCAAAACTAGCTCAATCGCATTTTTCATGGTTTCCCCTCCTGTGGGGCTCCCTCTATGTCAAAATAGCAGGGTTAGATCACTTTAACCCACGACGACAGTCTAAAAGTAGCCCAATTCCGGGGGAAAACTGCAGACTTGGCAACACTGCCCAGAAAAATGCCCACCTGCGTTGACATCATTTGCTACCATCGCTTTTTCAATGACATACAACTCACGTTCAAGGGAAAATCCGATCTGTCCGCTTACATGTTAGACGCTAATGCACATATTCAGATTTATTCATATCATATTTATCTCCACACATGAATATGTACTGTAATATGTAAGTTGGGACTCAAACTGTCGTCAGTCAAAGTGCTGTTCCACTATCTGTCGGAACACTTTCCACAAGGCCAAGGCTCTGATAAAAACACTTCTGACTGAACCTCTGTGTAGAAGAGTAGTGGTTCCCAGCCCTAGATCTGATGTACCCACAACATTTTGTATGTTTCGCAAATCAAACTCTTCTGAATCTACTTATTAGCTCATTAGAAGAGACACCGTTTTCAACTAAAAACAGAAAACTTTTTATGCATTTTGGCCATTCATTTACACAATAATGGTATTTTGGGAGCCCGAAAATACAAACTTTTGGTTTTAAAGTGCAAGTTTTTGAAAACAATGCCGTTAATTTTTTCGTGTAAACTACAAAAAAACAAAACATGAATTTGTGAAAACGGTGACGTCATGCGCATGCGTATTATGTGTTCATTCTATAGGTTCGTGCACAAATGCATAGATTTACTTTACAAAGTGAGATTGCCACCTACTGGCCTGGCATGAATATAACAGTATCATCTACATACGAAAAAAAATGAAAAACATTCCCATTTTTAGTACAATCATTGTCATGTAATTGTACCCCAAGACCTGAAATGGGTGTGTCAGATAAGAGTAGTTTCGCATAGCCAGACCTTCAGACTGACAGCAAAAATTCTGGGAACCTTGGCTGTTTTGAATGGCCAAGGTCCCCCCAAGAGGCCATATGACTGACAGGTAAAGCAACCAATCACGTTTCGTTTTGTGCTGCATGAAAAAGTCCCCGCAAAAACGGACCGGTGTGTTAAACTCTTTTTTTAAAGAGTCTATGCCACAAACTTTAAATATTTCTCATACTTTTGAAAATGTAGTGTTTAGTTGATCCTGATAAGCGCTCAATGTCAAAGTTGTAAACACAACGGCTTTCTTCTTCCATAAGGGGGTTTGGCATCATGGCATCCAGGCAGAATGTTAAAGGGCGCTACACACACAGTGTTTCCAATGTTGTGTGCCGTATGCATCAGACGTTCAGCTAACGGTCCGTAGGTGTGACATCTGAGGCTAAGACTAGATAAGAATTACATTCAAAATGTCTACTGCTGGGAGTACTCCATGCAGGACCAGGGTTGGGAACCACCGTAGAAGTGGACAGTTGCCCCGTCCCAAATACAGGTCCACATTTAGGTGAAGTAATGACTGTCAGACAGTGCGTGCTTGGCAGAGGGGTGCATTGAGGGCACACTTTTATTATGCCCGCTAAGGGTGCGCTCGCCCATCTGAATCATGAAATGACAAATGCTACACCCTGCGGTCTAGTGGACTTCATGGACATGTCATTTGGGTCAAGTACAGTCTGGGAATTATATATTAAAATATGTTCAGTGGCTGATGCAATATTAGTGGAACTGGGTGTTTCTTCAACTACAAGCGCTTTTGGTGCTGTGGACTAATCCTGAAAACTCACTTGTATATCCTGATTAGTTAACTAAATTTATCTGAAGGATCAGAAAGGTGATTTTTTTTTTATTTTTTATAAGATTCTGGGATCGAAATGACATTTGTGCAAACAAATGTTTCTGTAATCATGTTAAAGATAATTTTATAACTAGCATTTTTTTATGTATATTAAATACATCAAATTAAATACATGTTCACAACTTTTGTAAAAAATGACACCTTTATTGGAATTTAAAATGTCCTATTTTATTCACACAATTTCTGTTTACCTTGATTGTATACATCACACATCACATGAAGTTGAAGTTTTCCTCACACATAACATGTTTCATTCATCCCATGCATGCTAATAGTATAATAGTAGTAAATAATAATAATAATAGTATAATAAAAAAATAATAGTAATTTCCTAATAAAATGTTTATAATATCAAATACTTACAGGCTGCATGGGTGAGCATAAGAGAGTTATGTTTGAAAATGCTTTTTTTTCAGGAAAGGTCTTACTCTGAGATAAGTGTAAAACAATAAAATCTATACATAAAAGACATGTTAATAGTAGAAAGTCTTGGTAGAGGAAAAACACACACACAACCATAAACATTCTGCCAGTAAAATTCCATTAAACACTATCCGCATGTTGGGGAATTTTCTGCATGTGTGCTGTAACATAATAGTACGACAACCCTTAAAGCACATTGTGGCACATTCACACTCCACAACTGCCACATCTAACAAAATATGCCTGTATGCTTTGCTGTCCACAGAGATGCTCAATAACAATACATCAGGTGGCAGAGTGATTGGAAAAACAATCTGCCAGCTATAATCTACGCAGTCAGGAAGCTTGTAACATGGCAGTTAACAAAGCAAGACCTCAGAATGCACCCCGAGGGCCCAAGCGGCCCTTCAGCGCTCTTCAAACGCACAGTCAATGACCAGAGAGACCCTCCTGAGGTCTCATGTTACCTCTGCCTGACGCTCTCTGAATGTGAGCGATTGTGAGCTGTGTGGACAGTAGAAGAACTGAAGTCTGGACCACGGGGAGTCATTCAGTGTGTGCTAACAGTCTGAGTCTTGCAGTTTACACACTGAAAATGCATTGCCTATATGACTTAAGGTGTAGTCACCCTGCACTTTTCATTCCAATGACTTTCATTCATATGCATGCGAATGCAGGAGAGCGGAAACACAAGCTCATGCAAAGTTGTTTTGCATTTTGCTAAGCTCTAAAGTGCAGGACTGGTGAACTTTGACCTGTGAATTCGTATCATGTGAAAATGTGTGACCAATATAAGATCGATACATCACAGTGTGACCTCGTAGTTTAATTAAAAGAACAGTGAAGTGGAGTAGACTGTATGATTGTACATTTTGGATTTATTATTATCGGTCATGTGTTTGATTTTTTTAAAGAGAAACTGTTTTATGAACCATTCAACCTTTAGTAAAGTATGAATTCTCTGAAATGGGTTCAAAGTCATTCTGCAACTAAGAAACCTATGGATTGCATCTTTTCTTTGTCTTGTGCCCACTAACATATAATATTGTCATGAAATTATTTATATACACTCTTTTGTATCTTTCATAAAATTCCAACATGAGTTTCAAAGTCACAGCTTAAGCATATCTCATTTGAAAAACTGAACCATAAATTAATTTCCTTGTAAAATCACAGCTCGTCCCTTTTCTCTTCCTCAAGTTCGACAATCAAAGGACATTCACGGCACATTTTAATTTCATTCCAATCAGCCAAACGTCCATATTAACATATGAATTTTACTCGAGGTGATCATAAATAGCAAAGGGCCCCGTGGTGATGCAGAAAAGTGTGTGTCACAGATTTCTCCAATATGAGTCAGCCACGATCTGGTAAATTGCATTGGCAAAGCAGCACATTTAGGGAAAGCCGCCATTTGAAATAAAAATGGGCCTGTGCGAATTTGGATCATGCAGATATCCAAGGGCGTTTGGATATTCGTTTCAATCTCTCATGTGAAAATACATTACTAATTCCAGGCACTCTGGGACGACAACATTTCTGACACATGGATGAAGATGAATAGATAATTCAAAAAGGCTTTCATTACAAACACCACATTGAGAAGGGATATTGCATGAGGATGGGTGTGGGGACATCTGTGTAGTGATAACATGAATCATATCAAGCCAAAGATTGAAATGGCACACCTGGACATCAGCCTGGTATATTTGGTGCAAGTGCATGCTAATGCAGACCATTTATTAAAAATCTGAGGATCCATAACCCATTGTTTGTTACATGAACACGAAGACTCAACTCATTGTTTTCAACAGTGTTTGAGTTAGCATGTTGCTAAGCTAACAGCAATTCTCCAAACAGCATGAAAACACACAAGTCTTAAGAAACATAATATATCTGTAACTACACTGAACTATTTTTAACAATATGTTTCAATACTGAATGAAATATGTGTTTGTTTACAAGCAACACTATACACCAACTTGGACTTGTTTTAATATAGATTGTTGTGATGCATTATGGGAATACCTTCTCTATGAAGGATACATACAATGCAGTCTTAAAATTTGGTTAAACAAACTCAATATTTAACCTATGTTTTAAAGTTCTCTGGTCAAAGTATGTTTTTATTGTATGGAAATCGGTGGCATTAACAGTCTACTTCTGTTTCATGAAAAAAGTCTGGGCTGACATGAAAGTGAAGGTGGCATTTCATTTTTGTGTGGTCAATTTAAAGGGATACTTCGTCCAGAAAATGAAAATTATGTCATATTTTACCATTTACCCTCATGTTATCCCAAATCCATAAGACGTTGCTTCATCTTCAAAACCCAAATGAAGATATTTTTAATCAAACCTGACAGATTTCTTTCCCTACATTGAGAGTCTAGGTAACCAAAACTTTGACGTTTCAAAAAGTCATTGGAAACGTAATCCATATAAATCGAATGATTTAATCCAAATCTTCT